TCCAATGGCGTTAATCATATGGAGTTGAAATATCTTACCGTTAAAGAAGAAGTTCAGAGACAACAGGTGTCTTTTGAAAATACAGGCACACAACTTCTGGTTGCAGATCCATTAACAAAATGATTACCACCCAAGACATTCATAGGGCATGTTGGAAGAATGGGTCTTGAATGTAATCAAAGTTAATTATTATTTTTGTTGTGAATTGCTTAACAATACTTATATATATTTGACATTTTGAGCTCATTAAAAATGTGTTTCTGATATTTCCTGTTAATTTATGTATGTACATGCATGTATTACTTTAAATGATGAAAACATGAATAGTCTTCGAATAGACATTATTGCTAGACCTTTATTAATGCTTCTCACTTATAGATTATGTTAAATGGGTTACTAGTGTTGTGGTACATGGAAGGGACTGTGCCATTTACTGACATATAGCTGCCATGACTCACATTGTTAGTTTGTTTACCATGATATTTATGATGACCAACTTAATACCTTAATCTGATTTATGATGCACACTAATTACTATTTTACTAAACCACTACAGAAGTTATCATATGTGTCAGGTGGGAGAGTGTAAAATTATTTATTTAATTGTGGCTCACATGATTTGGACATGTGACATATTACTTGGTGGCTAAGTAAATAGATATCAATTAATATTATTTATTTTTGGTCAACTTATAATTACTTTTTTGGTAATTACTTAGTGGAGAAGTATTTTCCTTTCTTGTTCCTTACTTTGATGGAAAGTGGAATTATATTACTAAAAAGGAAAACTGGTCCTCTTTCTACCTTTATAAAAGTTATGCTCCATCAATTATGTACAATTAATGATACAACACGTAAAATTTTTATATGTGCAAAATGCCAAGAGAGGGAAACCAATTTCCACCTTTGCCTGTTGATCAAAGTTGCAGATTAGTTCGTAATTAAATGATGTAGACGTTAGATTTAATCTCAACAAGGCTTGATATCATGAATAGAGGTATGTATATCTAACTATATATATTTATGCATTATAAGGATGTGAAATTAATTGAAGTTCTAAGATCTAGGGATTTATGATTATTTGTGATTAAAGTCTAATACAAATTAATTAAAGTTTTCATCGTTATCAACATTATCTTTTTCCACCCTTTATCTACTTTTCAAGGCTCTCCACCATGAAAGCAAAAACATTTACAGTGGCAAATCAAGAAAACAAGTTTCATCCCAAAATGCTCTTCATAGAATACTTATAGAGGTGGGTCCCTTCTCACTTTATTGTTTTAATATATTATTTTTTCTAGATGATTATAAGCTCATGCCTATGTACAGGGATGTGGTTAGGGTTATAGACAATCTCAATAACAACTCATATGACAACTTTATATTTGCAAACCATTGATGCACATACTTTTAAAACACCCATAAACAGTTGGTAAAAATCTGAAATTAATCAACAATGATCATTATTTCTTAAACTATAACTCAGTAGTATTAAAAATTCCTAAAAATTACAATCGTATATCTTAAGGAAGATCTTTCAAACAAATCAACTTATAAAGTATAATCACTATACCTTGAAAATAATGAATAAGAAGAAAATTTACAATTTTCTCATCCTGCCTCTTAGAACCTTGAAAAAAATGATGTCGAACATTTGTTTTCAGTTCTCTCCCATCTTGGTTTCTCTTCGAAGACTCTCGCTAATAATATGTCGTCTTTTGTTAATCAATTTAATTAAATATTTATTTAGGTTACTGTAGAGGGTAAATTTGTCCACTTACATAATAATATATTATAAAAAGATTATTTAGGTAATAAATCATCAAATGGTCATTTAATATCAATTAAGTTTCAGCATTGGTCACTATTCACCTTTTCTTGACTTTAAAGTTATTATAGGGCAATTATGTTTAATTTTGGTCACCAAAATATAATTTTCCCCACACATAGTACCGGATTTCAAATATCACTCTAAATCAAATTGAAATTGGAAAACCTATTTTGCAATTATTAGTGTTGACAAATGTAGTTACTTTTTGTCTGTAACGTTTGGGTGGTAAATGCTTTGGCCCCAAGTAAATTAACAAATGAGAATCAAATTTATACGAGAAATTATTAGATGGTCATGAACCATTAACACTTGGTAAATCACTTAAATACAGATTCTAGGATTGAGAATATGGCCTCACAAAAGTGTATTAATATATTACAAAGTTTCATAATCGGAGGGTTCTCATTTAATTAGTCCACCAAGTGTCAAATATGCCAAAACCTCTAATAATTTCTCAATTTATACTCTTAATCCCAAAATACATGTAATGCTTGAGAATCCAATGTATTAATTGTTTGTTTTTGTTATATTGAAAAGATTGAATTTTTAAATATACTTTTATTAAAAGATAAAAAAGTGTTATATAATTAGTGTACTTGGTTAATTAAAATAATATTTTAAAAAATATTATAAAAAATAAAAAATTCAATTTTTAAGGGAACATATCTTTTTGGGACATCTCCTAGTAACAAAATTGTTTTGTTCTTTTTTTTCTTTTCTTTTTTTTATCTCCAAAACAAAGTGTAATAGAAATTTAAAAACACACAAAGAAAATGAAAAAAATAAAAAAATAAATAAAGATCAAGGACACAATTAATGAAATTTTTTATGAAGCATATTGAATTCAATTGCCAACAAGGATCAATAAAAATCAGGAGAACAGTCAGGAAATTGAGGGTTTTGATTTATCATTCGAATCAAATCATGAATAGTTATTTTTCAGCGGCCATTATAAATTTGGTACTCATCATCTCTCTCAAAAATCAATATTTACCCAATTCATAAAAATTAATGTTGATCCTGCTTTTTGTTTGTTTTGACGTATGAGTGAGGCCTTGCATCTGCAAGTTCAAGCACCCATTTTTCTAAACCAGAGTTATTAACTGAGTGACCGAGTGAAGAACCCATTAAAAGTGGTATAAATTCTCCTTAGCAAATTAGTAATAAGAAAATGAATCAGCTCTAACAACCTTATGATTAGGTATCAGTGTGGGAATCAATGCCAATGCTGGGCTTTGGAAGCCTCGAAGATTTTCTAATAAAAAATAATTATTACTCTTTATGTATGTTAATCATAAATTTTTAAGTATTATGGCAGACGCAAAAAATAAATTCTATTAAGAACATTCAACACATTTCGTAACCTAAATTACAAAGGGTTAGTAATTATATTTTTTTATTAAATATATGAAAAATAATATATTTAAGCATGAAATAGATAAAAATTCATACCAGACTATAATATTTGGGAATTAAAAATAGAAAATTTTAAAAAAATAAATTTAAATAAATAACAAAAAACATATAGTTTTGTCTACATATAAATTAAATTAGATATATTTTAATGTCTTTGATCAATTTTATTATGCTTTATAAATTATTATAATGTTAAGCCCATTAATCCCCTGAACAATTTTTTGTTTCTCAAAAAATCTATCTGAACTATCAGAAAGATAACCCTGACCTATTCAGTTTGTTGCAAAATGTTGGACAACTAAGCAAAACTTCAGAAAGACAAAATGAATTTAACCCATTATTATATTGACTACCAAATGAAAGGCTTCGTATTGATTAAATCAAAGACTGCTTTTAATTATTGCATTAGACATAACTTGGTGGATTGGAATTGGAAATTTAGCATTTTTAAAATATTGCCTTTGTTGAGAGTAGGACAGTTTGGCTCGTTCGATTTATCAAACTACACCGAACTAGTGTAAATTTTGAGTCTCACTAATAAAATGCCCTTGACAACTCAAATTAATTGGACCTTTTACCATTTGAAAAAAAAAAATGACGAACTGGACTGAAACCGGCAGATTTTGGTGTTACTATCCAAATCACACCTGCGGAATTTAAACAGATAAGATTTAAATTTTACTAGAAACCATTTTTGGGAGCAACAAAAATACTTTTCATTATTTTTTTTTGGGTAAATTAAAATACTTTTCATTAGAGAATAAATAAATAGTCTCTTCATTTCCATTACTTTTTCTTTCCTTTTTTAGGAATGACTTTTCTTTTCATTACTTTTCGAATACAATTCATTATTTTAAAAGGCAGATATTACTTTATTTTTTCCCAGAAAATTCAAGTAAATACACATATGTGGGAGTAATGAACAGAGAAAAGCCAGCCCAAACACCCGGCCAGATCAGACAAGAAGACTAAAAACCCAAACAAACAATGGGCCCAAATATAAACAAAAAAAGGCGCCAAAGGTTTACCATTCAAAGCAAATAGCCTTATACAAAACAAATTTTCTTTTTTCCCCAAAGGTAGCCTGTACAAACAAATTTTATTTTTCGGAAGATGCCCACACAAACAAATTGTTTGCAACTGTTTTGACCAGGTTATCCAACTCTCCGGTAAGCTAAGAGTTAGCTCCTTGATGGAGCACCAGGAGGACGAGGAGGAGGGCGAACACAATTTGGTGATGCATTCCATTCCTCAGGAATAAGTCAAGAGCTTCGATGAAATCGACTCAAAAATTCGATTGAGAATGATATTCTATAATGAAGGCGAATTGGAGTACATTTGTGAATATCCCTCTCCAAATATGATACACAGAGGAAGCCAAGGCCATTTTGCATATGGTGAACTAAGGTGAACACGAGATGGAGACACTTTTGCTATATGTAGACATGTAGTGCCATATAGAGGGGCAGAGAAAGGACATGTGAGACTCTCTTCCTAATCGTCACAGATAGGAGTTCTCAAACATGACAATCCTCTCACACTCGCTCATTTCTTTTCCTTCCTAGTAATCCAAACAGCTTGAAATTAATGAATAGAAGAAGTACATGAAAAATTCACTAAGTGAAGGTTCTCAAGCAATGTCCATCATTTTCTCACATCTATAAGTGCAGGAAACATAAATCTCGAACAATCTAAAAGTCATTTAACAAACAAGCTGGTTATTCTTTTCTTGCAATGGCAATTTTTACTTCCATCATATAAAATCCTGTCCCTTAGCAAATAATGATAAAGAGAGAATAAGGCAAGTCATCAAACAAGTTAAACATCAGACATGAATGAACAAAACCCGTAAAATATAATCAATATCATTCGAGTAAAATGCATCATAACTTTAAAATAGAGGTTTATTGATGCAATGCCGGAATCAATATTCATGAAAAGCTAAAATCAGAAAACATTTGCAATAAATTGGAACTAAAGAAAGAAATACTGAGAAACTATGCTAAGAAGGGGAAACAAAAAAACAAAAAAACAAAACAAAACAGAAAAAGAGGCAAGGATAAGTGAGAACGTCTATCTTCTTCCTACTGTCTCTTGCAATTTCCTTGTTCCTCCAACTCCAAGCTTTCCTTTAAGAAAATTATAAGCCTTCTTTAGTGTAACCGCGGCACTAGAAGACCTGGCTTGCCCCTTTGAGACTTGATTCACTTCTTTAAGTAAGACTAAGCTCTCCATGTAAGTATCAGAGTAAAATTTGGCCAGAAAAGGGCACGAGTCCGGAAGGCAAGATACCTGTATTCCAAGATTCTTAGCTTGTCTAGACTCTAGGTTAATTGAAAAGATGGAATCATTTTTCCCAAATAAAAGAAGTCCATTCGCCCCCAAACTAGGTAGTCTTCCCCCAAAACCTCTATCCACATCGGAATTGCATAGTTTGGTCCAAGAATCTACAACACCATATTCTTTCATCACCCACATTGAAAAATTTCTATTCAACACATCAAAATGGCCCACACATAGAGACTCCCCAAGCACTGAAACAAACCACTGTGCTACCACCCATCCATATACTGGACCTAGTGGCAAACCCATCTCACCGAATACCTCACTGCTCATATCAAATGTCAAGAATGTATGATCATAAGTCTCATCCCTACCGCGTCCAATCCAATGGACAACCCCATTGACAAATGCCTGAGATCGAAGTGCAGTACAACGGATACGATTAAGGGAACCATCAACACTAATTCTTCTCCAACATCCTCTATTAAGAGAGTAAAGCTCAACTTCAGGATCTGGATCCGGACCAAAAATATTTTCAATGCAAGTAATTCTAACCACCTTATAATCATTAGTTTTGGCATCGAAGCCGTAACCAATAACCGGGCTATACAGGCCACGCGAATCAATGCCAATGCTGGGCATTGGAAGCCTCACAGATTTTTCAATACTTGGATTCCACAGAATCAAACTATTGGCATTACCAGAGGCATTATCATTATCGGTGAGACAAACCAAACCATTACAAGAACCAAATATGCGGAAATTAGAACCACAGTTTGGGATTAGGTCGTGAAGTTCTATAGGAGATCTAATATGCAGTCTTTCGTTATACATCTTTACAGAAAAACGACGTCCTCCTGTTTCTTTCTCATCGATGTAATGGGCGATGAGATGTGTACGAGTGTTGTTGATTTTGTTCAAACGGATTGTTTGATTGAGGTTTGAAGTGATGAAATCAGGGCTACTGATTAGAGAACACCATGATTTACAAACGCACCTGAACTTTAGCAGGGCTTTTGCCGGTAGTCTTGTGAGGATCTCCCTAACCAATTCGTCGGGCAAAAGTACCGCCATTGTTGAGATTTGAAGGTGAGAGAGAGACTGAGATTTCTTTTTTTAGGGCTTTTGTAAACCCTAGAATTATGAGATATCAATGATAGATACAAGCCCTGGCATCTTGAAAACCCTCGAACCAATCACACAGACTATACAACCCTAAGGACTCTCCTCTTTCCCCAAATACCCTACAAGAGTACAAGATTAATGCAACTCTAACACCCTCTCACTCTCCACACCCACACAAACCAGAGTTGTATTTCACAAATTTTATTTTATTTTATTTTTAACAGAATCAGATGAATGGAGTCCATTATCGAGTCTTAATTTTATTTTAAACCTATAATCCAAAATATATTAATGCGCAAATTTTTGTAATTTGCATCGATGAGGCGTGAATTTTTAATAATTTATTAAAAACCATTTAATACATGTAGTGACAAATTTTAAGCGGTTTTAGACTTCAAGTTATTAAAAAGGCTCTCAGTAAATATATTTTTCACTAAATTACTGAATAATAGTAGTCTTAAATATGAAATAAATAAAAATTCATACAAAATTTCATTAGAGAATAAAAAAAAAAAAGGAAATTTAAATAATACGATATATTAAAATTATATATAATTTTGTTTACAGATAATATACATCTATTTATGATCAATTTTTGTCTCTAAAAACAAAACTTGGTCGAGTGGAAAAGTTTTCTTTTTTTCTTTCGTTCTCCTTCCCAAACTCTCGACTTGAGCCTTTCATTGTTTTCAAAAACATTTGCCTCTATGTTATGCACTTTTGATAACTTTAAAGTCTGGGACCTTTTACTATTTTCAAAAATATTGCAGTGGCTGGACACGGAGTTGGATCAATGAACTCTCCAAATTGAAAACTATTTTTTGAGAATTATATGATAGTTAGATTTATAAAAACAGACTTTTTTTTTAATAACTAGACAGTTTTCTCAACCAATTTGAATTTTTATATAAGTTTCTGATTTACACTTCTCTAAATACATAAAGCTATACTAGTGACAAACCAAGCATTATTGACCTCTTTGATTTGAATCTTCCAATCTAAATAGATTATTCAGATTTTACTAGAAGGTATTTTTGGGTTATTAATTAGGGTTATATTAAAATGAGTAATAATACATTTGTCTATTTTAAGTGAGTTTTATTCTTTTGATGTGATGGATAAATTCAAATGCCAGTCATATCCACTATATCAAAAGGTAGAATTCTTAAGTTGGATAAATGAGTTTAAGTTAGTTTGTAATACTGAAAACAGTTTTCAAAAAAAGTCAAATATAAAACTTTTTTCAGAAAATTATAAAAAACAGTTATTTGAAAACATACATTTTTATAATTGAGTTTTTATAAAATTGAATCAAGCAGAATTTTTTGTGCAGTTTACAAATCAAGCAGGCATATCAATATTTTTCTATTAAAATTCTTTAAAAACTAGTTTGACATAAGACCAATAAGTTGATTCGAGATCTCGTTATCAACTTTTTGGACTAAAAAAACAATCTTTCTCGATAAAGTCGGTTGAGTAGGGCAAAATTGTATCCCTTAGGAACCGTACATGCACCTTTTCTCGGTAAACTTACTAGTTTTAAAAACTTTTCGAGGGATTTTAATTTATAGATCTTGATTCATTACATAGAGACAAGTTTTATGTAAAAATAAAACATGATGTATCATTCAATTAAAAGATTGAATACTTACATCAAGGTTTGAGTAAACCTTAGATCTCTCCTCTAAAGTGAATGTTCTCACTTATTGTAGATCCCTTTTGCTAGATACCTTTTTCATGGATCTCCATCTTTTTGGTAATGGTCTTGCCTTTAGGAATCACTTATAAGCCTCCATGAATGACCTTGGAAAACTAGGCTTGTGGGAGCCTCCATTAGATAAGAACACTAACCCTAATTTTCTAGAGAGAGAAAATTTATTCCTTTTTCCTTCTTTCCAAAAAACTCACCCCTAAAATATACATAGACCATGTATATTTATAGGCAACATAAAGGTAAAGAAAAGGAAACAACTAATCATTCTCAATCTCTAATTCACATGTCTCAAATCTAATATGATTTCAATATCAAGTTGGGTTATGAGTGAGAATCCATTGGGCCTATTATTTTATTGGCTACAATGAATTAATAATTGGCCCGGTCCATGAACCCAATTCAATTAATTCATAAATTAATTCCTACTCCACTAAAAGAAATTAATTGAACTCCAATTAAATAATAAATAACCTCTAAGTCAATATTGCACTTTGACCCCTCTATGCATAATTAGTTATCGAATAAATAAAGTCATCAATCCGACTACTTAATTAATATATTTATTTTGGTACATTTGATTATTTCTGGCTCGATCACAATAAAACATTTGTTTGACAAAAATAATAATTTAAATAAATAAATATATAATAAATCATTTTGTCTAAAAACACACGAAGGCCTTCGAATTTACTTTGTGATCAACCATAATCAATACAAAATAAATACAAGTAACAATGATGCAAATATTGAAAATATAACCCTCTAATTATTAATTACATAACTACCCAAAGTATCGGTCTAAGGATCCCGAAGAATCCGTCGAACAAATCAAAGTAATTATTAATTAATAAAAGAGTCTATAATTTTCTCATGCTTAAGAGTCAAATGCCATGACGATGATAGGGAACAATTGCATACGACGGCTCTCGCAATATATCTCAACCAAACGCGGATCCAGTTCAAGTCTTAATTAATTATGAGTCCATCCATAATTACTGACTATGAACCATTTATGATTACTATTTATATATCATGCATTGATTGCCATCACATACATATATATAAATATCTCTTGTAATCAAATGGACACTATCAATTCTATAATGAATCGAAATATAATACATTGAATTCACCAATTGTATAAAACATAAATATTTCAGAAACGTTAGGAACATATGTCACTTTAATCCAAACAGGAATTTGCTATGCAAGGGCATATAAATCCCAACAGCTCTCATTTGCCCTCATAGCCAATTCAAATTTCACCTAACTCCAATGTTATCCAGATGATGATCAAAATTATTGATCAATGACACCTTTGATAATGGATCAACAAAGTTGTGTTCCAATGCAATGTTCTAGCTACAAGTACATTTTCTTGCTGGACAATATCATGTAGAACATGATACTTCCTCTCAGTGTATCTTGTTCCTCTATAGAACCTTGGGTCATTGGTTTGGATTACTTTTGCACTATTGTCACAACATAGCTCAATAGGCAAGCTAGTATACTCCACAACCTCCAAATCAGTGAGATCAAACCAATAGGCTTCCTTTGCCGCCTTTAAGGCTGCAATATATTCCACCTGCAGGTTTGAGTTAGCAGTTGAAATCTGCTTAACAATCTACCAACTGATTTCCCTTCCATTAAGTGAACATACACTAAGTCATGAACCTCATAGTATCTACTTCTGATTGAAAATCAGAACTAGCATACCTGACTAGGACCATCATCACATCCATAAATGAGTATGATATCCTTGGTCCTCCTTAGATACTTAATGATATTTTTCACAACAGACCAGTTATCAAGTCCAGGATTGGATTGATATCTTTTGACTATCCCTGCTATTTAGCGGATGTCCTATTTGGTATAGACCATGGCATATATGAGACTTCCATATGCCAAAGCATATAGTTCCAGTCTCATTTACTCAATCTCCTCTACTAGTCTTGGAAAACTACTTACTGGAGAGAGCAATCCATATCAATAAAGCAAGAACTCATTCTTTGAGTTATGCATATCAAACCTGGTCAAAACTTTATCAATGTAGGATTATTAAGACAAGCCTATTTTCCTTTTAACCTGATCTTGCAAAAGCTTGATCCTAGGAATATAGCTTACATCTTCAAAAATCCTTCATTTAAAAGTAATTGAACAATTACCTCTTTATTGATGACAAACATTCCACATCATTCTATATGAGTAGGATGTCATCAATATATTTATAGAATCAGAAAAATAATGACATTCCCTTGTACACTCATAATTTATTCACTAAGAAATCTTCTGGTATCTTTTTGTAGATTAACTTGCCTTCCATAGGAATCACCCTACTAGAAAGTTCTACAAGATCCCAGAATTTATTAGAATACATAGATTCCAACTCTGATTTCATAATAACTCGTCAAAACGATCTGTATCCATATCGGTTCATGCTTCCGTGTAGCTTACTGGGTCCAACTGATGTTTAACAGGGATGTCCATAACGGTCTCATCTAAAAACATGATTCTGTCAGATTAGATAATTATCCTCCCACTACATCAATGTACCGATAAAGGAATCTGTGTACTAGACGATGCTGACGCATCAATAAGGAATTCATCTATAATTCTAAATCTCTATACTAAGTGTGTTCATATGTGGTACATCTGGTACTCATACCATATTCTCTAACACTATGTTACTAGGTATGTGATTCATAATATGATTCTCCTATAGATAAACAGTGAGTGTAAACAATCAACTTTTATCATTGAGACCATAAAATAATCCGTCCTAGTGACTTTTAGAGTAGCTATCAAATCTATCATGCGTATGATCTGTTTCCAACTTACTTGTCCATATCAAGCGCACATGTGCAAGACTACCCCATATACGCATGTGATTCAAACTAAGATTTAGTCAAAAACACAGCTCAACGGTATCCTTGAGATAGACTAAGATGGAATGCAGTTCATAATGCGCATCGATGTCATTAACGCTAAACTCTTAAATGAAAGAAATAATGTGGCATAACTGATCATAGATCTAATCATGTTAAGTGGAATTCTGTTATTCCTATTTGACACCTAAATGCATTTAGCGTCAATTGCGGAAAACTGGTACACAACACCCTCATTGACCATATAGTCTTTGCACTATCCCAAGAAATACTCATATCCTCGATCAGATCGAAATGTCTTGATAAATTTACCTAATCTGTGCTCCACATCAGTCTTGACCCTCTCGGAATATACCAAAAGTATAAGACTTGTGTCGCAACAGGTAAATTTATCCAAAACGTGAGTAATCTTGCTTGGATGTTCACAAGACCACACGTGTCAGTGTGTACCGACTCCAATTGTTCTTTATGTCTATTTCATTTGGCTGATTAAGCTCTTAGAGTTATCTATCCTTCAAAACAGGATTCACAAGTTTGGTT